ACTGCCAGGGACAGGGCAGCCACAGCTCCTCCGCTCAACCCATTCCAGTGTCCCACTACCCTCATGGTGAAGAACTTCTTCCTTCATAGTGAAGAAGAGGGGGAAAACCCCCTCAAACCTGAACCACCACCTCCCGATTCCTCCTGGGGTCCATGCAGCACCCCACAAGCCAGCACCCCACCACAGTTCCTGCACCCCACCATGGTGCCTGCACCCCGTCACCCTCCTGGCCATCCAGAGCCACCACGGGGACACAAGTCATGATGATGGTCTGGCTGTTGCCTGCCCCTCCATAAAGCAAGGCTTGAGGGGGGGACCTCCACTCGCCCAGGCTGGACCACCCCAGGCAAGTCCCTTTGGTGCGCTCCAAGAGGAGCTTCCCATCAGGACCAGCTCTGCAGATCCCTCCTGTGTCCCCGGCACAGAGCGGGACACGGTGCTGGCAAAGGGAAGAGCTTGAAGGCTTCACAACCGTAAGGACAATAAATAGAAGGTCTTCCTCCCGTGCCGCATCCATCGGCCACGGTGGCCCTTCCGTGTCCATCCCAGAGGGAACGCTGCTCCTCGGCTTGGTCACTGCAGGGTCCCAAAGGGTTTGTCATGGAAACAGTCCCGGGAAAGGCGAGTGTCCTGGGCACGCCGGGCTGCGGGGGGAATGCCATCCCATCCCTACTGCAGCAGCTTCGGCACCTCCACCTGCCGGAGAAGACACCCCGTTACTGGGGGAGCACTGGGAGAGATGCTGGAATGGCTGGGGCACCCTTGACTGCATGGGGAGGTCCTGGATTTCCACCCCCCAGGTTAAAGCTGGCTTCTTCCGTGTGTCCCAAATCCTGGAGCCCAACCTGACTGCTGGAATGAGGTGGATCTGCCCCAGCCCAGGGGCTCTGCCAAGGGATGGACCTGACCTTGTTGGATGCTCGCCCAAGGGATGGATCTGCCCCTGCTGGATCCTCTTCCAAGGGATGGGCCTATCTCTGTTGGATGCTCTCCCAAGGGATCGATCTGCCCATGTTGGATGCTCTCCCAAGGGATTGATCTGCCCATGTTGGATGCTCTCCCAAGGGATTGATCTGCCCATGTTGGATGCTCTGCCAAGGGATGGACCTGCTGACCCCATCTGCTCTGCAAAGGACGGTGCAGAAGGATGGATCCACCCCTGCCATGTGCTCTGTGCAGGGGTTGGGACCACAGACTCCACACTCACACTGTGAGGACATCCCTCACCTCTCCACCACCCAAGTGCCCTCAGACCTCATCCCATGGACCGACCCAGAGGTGGCCCCCCCCGTGGCCCTGCACTCGCCTTCCTGAGCTGTTTGAGGTTGCTGGAGCGGATAGCGGCCAGGAGCTGGTCCCGTGAGTTCTTCTCCTGGACCGGCAGCGCCCGGTCTCCCAACTTCCTCTGCGTGGCCGGTGAGAGCGAGTTCCTCAGGTTCTCATTGATCAGAGGTGGGGCGAGAGGAGGAGGAGGTGGCGGGGGGGCAGCGGG